TAAACTGATAAGCAGGGACATATCTCACAGTTAATATCCTTCAGAGTGTAGTGACAACAACTCTTCTTTCTTCAATATTTTTACCTTTTTTGAATTAAGGTTTATGCTTTCTTGTCCTGCCACTTCAAATTAACAAGTTGGTTCATGTTGACAATTAATAGGTATAATGTTATACAAGAATAGCAGTTGTTGTTTATCAATTTGTGAACTATCAATGCAGCTAGGATTCTCAAGTGAACAGGTAGTATTCTTGAATATTAAAGTTGTTTACCTTATTGTTATGAGAGGTCTAACATCTCACTTTTTTCTACCATCTATTTTCATTAATGTAGTAACAACACTTAGGTAGCTTTGGTTTGTACAAAAAAGGATCTAAGCTTAGCTTTTCTGTACAACTATTATGGGAGCAAAGGGATTCTAAAATGATCTACATCAGTTACATTTTCAATTCTTTTTGCCAAAACATCTACCGAAAAAGACTTTGTTATTCTAATACACATATGTTCTCTGTGTTGCCTCAAAGTATACGAGTTTCTAATCTTTTTATATAGTCAATCAAACGTTAAATTGTGTCTCAGATTACTTCGGCCTTCGTCAATATGCTGTAACAGACTGTTATACCTTGTATAGGCTCTTATGCATAAGCCAGTCTAATAGTCACAGACATATATTCTTGAAGATGCTAAGAAAGTTAGATGTCGGAAGTTTCTTCCATCGACTGTAACTTGATAATTCTGAATTTATCAGTGTATTTGCCATAGCGTCTCTTGAATTACTTTTATTCATTAGTCACTTAGTTTCCTAGATGTTAGCGTGTTCTGTTCTTGAAAATTTCTATTTGTAATGAATAAAAATACACTAATTTGATTTTGTATCTCTTGCCTTAATGAAAACTTAATTTGTCCAAATTTTGCTCTTGTAGGAACAATGGGAGGAATGATAGCTGGACTTGTTGTATAAATTTTGCTACCATCATTTGTACTCTATAGACTTTTGACTAGAATAAAGAGGTATGTAAGCTCATGGTTATTTTATCAATTGAACTTTTAACACTTAATGTTTGACATTTTGGCCGATTCTATATTAGAATATATGTTGATCCTCTGTACGAAATTACCCATATAGACCACTAAATTCTTATTATTAACATGAAATCTTGTCATCAAGATTATTGCAATCAGGCCCACTAACTTCTTATTATTAACATGAAATTTTGTCATCAAGATTATTGCAATCAGGCTAGTGGTTAATATATGGCATATACACTTATCATTGGAATGAGTATCTTTCATTTTTTTTCCTTATATCATCTATGTGAACAAAACAATTTCTGCAAGAAAAATGACATGTTCATTAATGGTTCAACCCTTTATATTGCTGCTTGATTTAATGCACTTGTTGCACTTGTACTTCTGTTAGTTGCAAATTTCTGTGAGATTACTAAGTTACAATCTTTACCTCATAGTTTCTACACTAAGATATGCTGCATTTTCTTGAGATACACACTTTCGATTAATTGGGGTCTTTATTTTTCATAATACATCATGATGTTATGTCGTTAACAACTTATTGCAGATGTCGCTCATATTGTGTACATAAAAGATGATGTTATTTGGGGGAAGGGACTAAGTATGAAGATGTTAAGAGAACTCCTTGATGTGCAACATTTGCTCGTAAAGTGCTTGAAGAAGACTTAATTCGAAGAACAAGTAAAAAGCCCGAAGGAAACAAGAGAACTAGTGATTTGATTAACTTATTATGTATTTGAAAATTTATTGTTTCTTTTCTTATTTGGACATAAACGGAGCTAGAATCGATGACTTATGAAATTGCTAATAATATATTGTATACTTTGTTGTACAGTCTATTTGGTTGGTAATAAAATGTTCTTATGTTATTTCCTTCAGTATATTTTGTAGCGATGTCAATAATGTAATGTAGGGAAATTAGTGTAAAAATCCTGCCTATTTTTTTTTAAAAGAAAAATGAGCTTTAGTGGCGATCTGTCGCCACTAAAGGAAATTCTTTTGTAACAACCAATCTAGAGTCGCCACTAAAAGTTAATATTTGTTGAGGCGACCTACCAAGAGTCGTCACAAAAGGCATTTTGTTTTGTGGCGACCTTCATAAGATCCATTTTGTTAAACCTTTTTTGTGGCATATTGGTTAATGTTTTGTGACGACAAAGTCGCCGTTAATACTTATATTTAGTGGCAACTCAAAAAGTCGTCACAAATAACATTTAGTTATGGAAGTACTTGCCACAACTCCAATGTCGCCACTAAACACTTACCGTGGTAATTTTGTGGGCTTTTGTGGTGACTTTCGTCGCTGCAAAAAGCCCAATTTCTTGTAGTGCTCCAAATGAAAACCGCTTAGACCTCAAACACGAGGAATGAGGCAAACAAGATACCCATTTCGCCATATAGGAAAACCTAGGGGTGGAAAAAACCTAGATAATCAGAGAGGAAACTATGCAAGTTTCCTAATCTAGTACATAGAAATGGCTTTCTACCTTCCATGGAAAATTAGGTCGAATACACTTTGTATGGACTAATCTGATTGGACCAACCCTTTTAGTTTTTTTTTTTTTGTGATTGTATTGTTGCCCTTGTGGTTACTATTAAAAAAAGGCTCATATGAAAGATAATATGAAAAAATTAATGTCATGCTAAAGCATTTAATTTTAAAATGTATATAATTTAAACTCTACATCGCATCAATAATTTCTTATATATATTTATCATTTTCAGATGGTATTTCATGGAGAATTGTTAAATATTCTTTTATTAGGGATGAAAATTATGTACACAATTTTGTTTTTTTCTATTTATAATTAAGGTTGGTGAAAAGATTATGCAAATTATGTTATAAAAGTATTCATGTCTATTTCTCCTAATGAAATTAGTTCGGTAAAAAATATTTATTGAATGTATTTAATTAATTCCTAATCTATATATGTATCTTTTCTTTAAGAAAAAAGAAATAAAAATTCCACAAAAATCAACATTAGCCTATATATTAAGCCAAGCTTTAATAAAATAAAGGAGATGTAAAAGATCTTTAAATCATATTACCGTCAACACCAAGTCATTACTATATAAAGAGAAAGTAGAGGCAAAGTAAATGAAAAATCACAATTTCAAAACCCTAATAAATGAAACTCAATGGAAGTCATGCAAATAAAAAAATTGTTTTTTCAAGTCCTAGCTTTAATACATTGTAGAATTTTTATTTTTTCACCTCATACCTGAACCAAAACCCAATATGCATAAATCATAACCATTAACTAAAAAATAATCTTGTCTTCAATAATTCATAAATGTTGAAGTTATAGCTAATTTGAAATTCGAAACAGCAAACACAAACAATTAAAGAGTAGAGAACATGAGAGAGCGTATGTATGTAGAATAGAATAGTAAAGAAGAAAAGAAAACAATAGGTCATGATGAAATGTAATGTTAAGTTTTAAGATTTTGTGTGGAGAGACGCGGTGGTTAGAGGCATGAAGAACATGAATATTGTTTTCTTTTCTTCTTTACGAAATGTAATGTTAAGTTTTAAGATTTTGTGTGGAGAGACGCGGTGGTTAGAGGCATGAAGAACATGAATATTGTGCCTAATAATTTGTCAAAATCATTCTGAAAGTACCCTTTAACTACACTACATTGCATTTCATAAGTATGCGGATGTTTTAGAATGAGTTTGAAGGAATAAAAAATTGTAATGAGTGTGAAGGTGAAATTTAAATTATTATGATCGGTGGAAAATATATTTTAAGCGATACAAGGCAATAAGATTGATTATTCAAAGTGAATAAACCTTGTCATTTTACTAGGGATGGTTATTTATTTTTTTTACAGGATTTTGTTCTTGTTATTCATTAAGGTTGGTGAAAAGGTCAATCCAACTATAAGGGCATTCAAGTCTATTTCGCCAAATGAAACTGATACAACAAAAAAATTGAATGTATTTAATCGATTTCTATATCTTTTGTTTTCTCTAACTAAGCAGTAACATAATTTATAATTAAGTAAATAAAGGTGTGTCTTCTTCATGTGCTTACTTCTTTATATTCTAATTTTAAATTACATCATCATGTTTCTAATTATTTTTAAAAAATAATAATTTACAATCGAATATGTATATATGTTATGCTTTTGGATCTTTAATTTGTGAGCACACGACATATCTAATAATAAAACATATTGCTTACTATTATTATATTTTGGTTTTTAGTCTAAAGTACTATATACTCATGCATTTCCTGCGTCATTTTTTTACTGGATGATAAATATGATTAATAAAACATTCTAGTTGTTTTTTATTTCATTTTTTAGACTTAAGTACTAATGCATTTCTTGTATTTTTACTGAATAATAATGATGATTCTCGAAACAACAAACATGTCATGTTTTTGTATCTCTAATTTGTTAGCACACGTTATATCTGATAATAAAACATACTACTTGCTATCATTATGTTTTTTCTTAGAATAAGTACTCATGCATTTATTGCGTTTTTTACTGAATAATAATGATGATTCATGGAAAAATAAAAAAATCATGTTTTTGTATCTCTAAATTGTAAGCATACGTTATATCTGGTAATAAAACATACTACTTGCTATCATTATATTTGTTTTGTTACTTGCTATCATTATATTTGTTTTTTTACTTACTATAAAGTATTCATGCATTTCTTGTTTTATTTTTTGCTGAATAATAAAGTTTATTTTTGGAATAACAATAAATCCAGATACTTCTTGGAGTTTCTAGAAAGTTTGAGTAAAATATCTTTTGATATATTTTTATTTAATAAATATTTATAAAAATCTCAAAACTTAATAGTTAAGGTAGATATTTAAAGAAATATAATAAATTTTCTAGTTTTTTGTTATATCTAGAATCATCTATTTACTAGTATAAATATGTGTGACCTTAACCAATTGTAACCAAGCCAGTTCAAAAACGCCTTATTCATTAATAATTTTTTCCTGCCCAAAATCCTCATTCTCCTTCATGGATACTTCTCTTTTCACCACCCAAAACATGAAAAAATTGAAGAATGAAAAGTCTCATGTTCTTATAGCACTATTCCCAGGCCAAGGCCAAATTAATCCATGTCTTCATTTTTCCAAACAATTAATCAATTTAGGCATTGGAGTCACTTTAACCACGAGCCTATCAGCTTTCAGTAAAATAAAAAAACTCCCAAATGTTGAAGGATTAAGCTTTGCTCCTTTCTCTGATGGCTATGATGGCAAATTCCAGTTAAGTTCAGTTGATGATTTTCATATGTTCTATTCTTCTGTAAAGTCCCATGGATCAAAATTCATTTTCAATTTGATCCAATCAAATGCAAAAAATGGTACCCCTTTTTCACATGTCATCTACACTATAATCATGGAATGGGTTGGTTTAGTGGCCAAAAAAATTAATATCCCATCTACATTATTCTGGATCCAACCTGCCACAGTTTTTGATGTTTACTATTATAGATTCACAGACTATTCTGAATATTTCAAAAGTTGTGATGCTAAGGATAAAATAATAGAGTTACCAGGATTGCCACCACTTAGTCCAATTGATTTTCCTTCTTTTGTGTTTGATGACGTGGACAGTTCCAACTGGGCAGTTAAGTCTATTAAAAGGCAAATTGAAATGTTGAGTAGTGAAGAAAATCCAAGAGTTCTTGTGAACACTTTTGATGCTTTGGAATTTGATGCTTTGAGAATTCTAAAGCATGTGACTATGGTGGGAATTGGGCCTTCAATTCCTTCAACATTTCTTGATGATAATACTTTTCGAGCTGATATGATTGAGATTAGTTCAAAGAATTATATGGATTGGTTGAACTCAAAGGACAAGGGATCAGTTATCTACATAGCATTTGGAAGTTACTCCGAAATACCAAGTCAATTGATGGAGGAGATTGGTCACGGATTGCTTAAATGTGGGAGGCCATTTTTGTGGGTGATTAGGGAAGGACAAGACGAGGATAAGATGGAGGACAAGTTGAGTTGCAAAGACGAACTTGAAAAACAGGGGAAGATAGTGAGTTGGTGCTCGCAAGTAGAAGTTCTAAAACACCCTTCTGTTGGTTGTTTTTTGACTCACTGTGGATGGAATTCAACGTTAGAGAGCATAGCATCTAAGGTACCTATCGTGGCATGTCCACTCTGGAACGATCAAGTTTGTAATGCAAAACTCATTCAAGATGTTTGGAAGAATGGTGTTAGAGTTAATGTTAGTGAAGGTGGTGTCGTGGAAAGAGATGAGTTCAATAGATGTATCACGATCGTGATGGGGGACGGTGAAGAAGGGGAAGAATTGAGAAGAAATGTCAAGAAATGGAGTGATTTAGCTAAGGAAGCTATGAAGGAAAATGGTACATCAAGTGTGAATCTCAAGGCTTTTGCTAATGAGATTTTACTTGGTCATAATGAGTACTAAATCACTCATGAATAGATGACTTCAATAAACTAGCTAGTAATCAATTAGTCTTTTTAAGAGTTTGTTCTTCGTTTCAGAAAAAATAGTGAATTTCTTTGAAATTATTCATAATGAAATAATAGACTTTGTTTCTGAAATAATTATATTAATTTCTTCCTCACTTTAAATTTTTAATTTTTTTCTTTCATTGATTTCTTATCTTTTCACTTTTAATTATTTTTAGAAAATTATGTTAATTTTTTTTATAAAAAGAAGCGTCCTTTAATTTATATTTTTTTTTAAATATTACACACGTGTGTACAAACATAACAAATTAATTTAGTTGAAGGTGTCACATCAGTAGAAGAGGTGCACGAATGTAAGAAAAAAATTAGTTCGAGGGATAATAGGACCCTAATTAAGTTAATGTGTGTCAATGGGATTTTAGCCATAGTTTAGGAGGGGTACTTATGCATTATCGAATATGTACTTATGTCATGCTTTTGTAACTCTAATTTGTTAGCACACGTTATAGCTAATAATAAAACATACTACTTGATATCATTATGTTTTTTTGTTACTAATTACTCTAAAGTACTCACGCATTTCTTGTGTTATTTTTTGTTAAATAATAAAGTTGATTCTTGGTATAACAAAGAATTCCAGATACTTCTTAGAACTTCAAGAAAGTTTGAGTAAAATATCTTTTGATATATTTTTATTTAATAAAATGTATGTTATCTCAAAACTTAAATATTTAAGGTAGATGATTAAAGAAATATGATAATTTTTTTAGATTTTTCTATATCTAAAACCATTTACATACCAGTGTAAGTATGTGTGACCTTAATCAGTTGTAACCAAGTCAGTACAAAAACGCTTTCTTCCTTTACAAAGTTCTCCTTCCAAAAATCATCATTCTCCTTTATGGATACCTCTCTTTTCACCGCCCAAAACATAAAAAATTACAAAATAAAAAATCTCATGTTCTTATAGTACTATTCCCAGGCCAAGGACAAATTAATCAATATCTTCAATTTTCCAAACTATCAATCAATTTAGGTATTGACGTCACTTTAACCACAAGTCTATCAGGTTTCAATAAAAAAGGATTAAGATTTTTCCTTTCTCTGATGGCCATGATGAAAAACTCTAATTAAGTCCAATTGATGAGTTCCATTTGTTCTATTCTTCAATAAAGTCTCGTGGGTCAAAATTTATTTTCAATTTAATTCAATCAACTGCAAATAAATGTACCCCTTTTTCACATGTCATCTTCACTATTATTATGGAACTGATTGGTTTAGTGGCAAAAAATAATTCCATCTACATCATTTTGGATCAAACCTATCACAGTTTTTGATGTACTATATATATTCACAGATTATTCTGAATATTTCAAAAATTATGATGCTAAGGATAAAATAATAAAGTTACCAGGATTGCCACCACTTAGTCCAATTGAGTTTCCTTCTTTTGTGTTTGATTTGAGAGTACCAATTGGGCAGTTAAGTCTATGAAAAGAAAAATTGAAATGTTGAATAATGATGAAAATCTAAATGTTCTTGTGAACATTTTGATGCTTTGAGAATTATTGTCACGCTCCGAGCCTACATCCTGGATGTGACCGATACTCGAGAACCATTGTTGGCCACAAGCGAACCTTCCCCTGGCTCAATTCTCAGCGGAAAACTTACTCAACAATAAAAGAACTTTCAAAGTAAGGTTTTAACTCATGAATGTCTCAAAATAATAAATTCAGAAATATATAAGAACATTCAACTAGCCAAACGAAGGCAACTCCAGTCTCAAACAATAACAATGGAAATGAAAAAGACTCTTGAATTACTACTCTCTATCTATGAAGCCTCTATACTATGAGGGATGTCGGGAAAAGACCCCCGATCATCCTAACAAAACTGAAATAATAGAAATAAATAAGGGATCCTCCGGAAGCAAGGAGGCTCACCAAAGCTAACTCGATGGTATCAACGAAGCGCCTATTGATGACCTTGATCTCTTGTATCAGCATCATGAAATGTTGCAGGCGAAATGACATCAGTACATTGAATGTACGAGCATGTAAGGAGAATACTGAACATAACATAAAAGCTTGATCTTGGAAAGAAGGAAGCATACTCGCCTCAACTCTACTTAAATCAACCTCAACACATGGATACTCAACTTAATAAGTATAAAAACAACAATAAAGATGCAATTTGTATAAAGCATTTAAAATAGTAGATAACAACTCAATGTATTTAAAAATACAATAATAACTCTTATTTGTATGTAAATATACAAAATAACTCAAATTGGGAGATTTTGTAACCGATAACCATCACTATGAACTATGTGATGATACAGTTTCTCGCCAACGCTGCCAGAACTGTCCTATACTTGCTAGAGTATAATACATCCTCAACTAAGTTGATCCACTAAAGTATGCTTAAAAAACAATAAGGAATCATCTAAAAATTATAACCCTTTCTACCCACGTTGGCTACATGGTTTATGAGGACTTTGAGTTGCATGAACTCATCCCCATATCAGTGTTCAATACTACTCCCAGTAATATACTCAGCTCATATGCTAAAAACATTTCCTCATCCTCAAGCTCTGAGATTATTACTCAAAAGTTCTCTTAAAAGAGATTATACTCAAAAACTCCTCATGAACTCATTTGAAAATCGATGTTTCCTCTCATTTTAAATGTAAAAAACATTTATTCTTGGAAAGACTTAGTTCCCATATATTCATTTTGAAAAATGTAACTCAACTCTAATCATCCTCAAACTCAAGTCTTTAAACAAGTTTTAAAAGATTGTGAAAGACTTCTCAAAATGACTCGAAAGAACTCTCAAGACTTTATTCTTAACTCTACCTTGAATTTGAATTATGAATTCATGGGTTACGATTCATGTTATGAAGGAACTCTTGATGTTTAGATGTAGTTTAGAGTAGTTAAAATCATAAAGGAGTAAAGGTATACCTTAAAAAGGGTGGGGGCAGGCGACCCTAGTGCACTGCTGGTGCAGGGCGTCAGCCCCTAAACTTCAGAGACTCAATCTTGGCGCACTGCTAGCGTGGGGCGTTAGCCCCTGAACTTCAGAGACTCAATCTTGGAGCACTACTAGCGTGCCACGCCAAACCTTCTGGTGCATCTGGGGCGCGCCGCTCCAGTCTTTCCCTTAATCAATCTGATGATTGTTTCTTCTTGTTTTCTAACCCTAATTCCACTAGAATCAATTGTTATCCTCAAATTTTCCTTAGATTCATTTATTCAATACAAGTACACAAGAATCTACTCACTTTACCTCAAGAACAACCCACAAAGATCAATATCCTCATCTCAAGAATTCATCAAACTCGATAAGCAAAACATGAAAAACAAAACCTCAAGAACAATCATCAAGAATTCAAATCATTCAACCTCAAGAACAAAATTAAGGATGTAATTTACATGATTGGCGTGCGGGTGAACGAACCCACACTATGAAATCTTACATACCTTAATTTGGTGAAATTCCTCGACAAATATCAAGAATCTTGACGAACGCTTTGAACCTCTCCTCTTGAACTCCTCTCAAAAAGCGTAATTTAGAGTTGTAAAAACTGGCCCAAATCAGTTTAGACCCCAAAAATATTACTAAAAATGTTTAAAGCTGATGGGGTAAGGAAAAGACCAAAATACCCCTCATTAATTCGGGTAAATTTCCTTAACTAGACATGCTGACGTCAAACGGGCATTTCTCCCTCATCCGAACTCGAAATTTAGCAAACTTAGTGGCGTTGGCAAGAGGATTCAAAGATTTTTCATTTCATATCTTATGGGACACCTAATTCATCAGGTACTTAAAGTTATGGTCATTTTAAGTTGACCCAAACCTCACAACTTAAGCTTAACTTGAAAGAATCTCAAATTAGCTCTTTCCAAATTAGTTCTTTCTAAATTTAGCTCTTTCTAAGGTGGGATGTTACAATATATCCCCCTTGAAAATATTTGTCCTCGAATGAGATTACTCTTAGTAGACTAAGGGTGGCAACATCTAACACCCAACTCAAACACCCAACATGCAAATTAACACAACATTTCTATTTAAAAAGTACCAAGAACAGACTCTCCAAACTCAAAGAGATGTGGGTATCTCTTCTTCATATCCTCCTCAGTTTCCCAAGTAGTTTCCTCAACAAACTGATTCTTCCATAAGACCTTGACTGATGCTACCTCCTTGGTTCTCAACTTGCAAACTTGACGATCAGGTATCTCAACGGGTACCTCCTCATAAGATAGGTTGTCCTTAATACCAATATTTTCAATAGGTATAATAAGTGAAGGATCACTATCTTATTTAATAGTCTTTTAGATATCTAAACAGTTTTGTTGAACAATTATAGTTCGTCTTAGATGTTTTTGCATTGGTGACACAATTTTTTGTGCATTCTTGATATTTTCCACACTTTATATATGTTTTTATGAAAGCTTGATATATGAATTATTACTCTATTATTTTAATTTTCTTGGTTTTATTATTTATTGTCGTTGTTGGGTGAAAGATTGACTTATCTACTTATGGGTTAGGATTAAAAAATTATGATATATTTTCTTATGATTATCGGATAAAAGAAATTTCAATAAACAAGCAAGTATTTGTCAATTACATGTTGTACCACGATTGTTAATTATTATTTGCTATCATTTTCGCTACATTAATTACAATCTTCCCTTAGTTTTAAATTCCTTGACCAATCAAACAACTTCATATTAATTGAAACGGATAAAGTAATTTTCAATTAAATCGTCTAACTCTCAGAAGTTAATGACAAATATTGCAATGCAAATTGTGATTAGTAAATAATATTTATAAACAACGTCAATCAAAAAAGTTAATTTTCATTCACCATTTGATAGCTTTCACACCTAATTTTTTTTTCTAATACATAACTTTTTATTAACAGTACAAAATCTCAATATTTAGAAAGATATCATATATTATTATAAGTGGGAAGCTCTAAAGTGA